ATTGTGTCTGTTCCAAATTCTTTTCTCCAATGAAGCATATCAGCCCACATTTGAACTGCTTTCTCATGCTCAAATTTTCTCGCTTTCAAAAATCTGCATCATGTAAGTTTGTCGGTAAGCAATCAGGAAAACCAAATACTGAAAAAGCAAGTTACCTAGAAAAACGAGCCATACAGAGTTACATTCTGGAAGCGCATATATTCTTCAATAAAATGCATCGACCCAATTGGATCAAAAATGCTTGCAGTTGGCTTAATACAGTTTTAAGTTAAATCCAACTAATTAAAGATATTCATAGCATGCTCAAGTACAGATTGTGACAGTTCAGGCAGCTAATAAGCCCAACAAAAAGTTTTTACAAAAGCACAAATACTATAACCAAAATCACAATTTCTGATGGTGAAAAACAACCTGAGCATCATATGATAGTCATCGTGTTTATCAGGCAATAAGTCCCTGGAAATTAGCTCCTTACGGAATGCATAGACTGCCCGTTCCTCTTCCACATCCCTGACATCCTCAATTGACACTGAAGAAGTCCTATGGACACTTCTCCTCTTCCCTCGTTTCCTGAGAGAGTGGGTGAATCGTGAAGAAGCATTTAATGCCTTTTTCTTTAGAGACCCGATGGTCAATCTTCTTCTTTCATCTTCCGAACTCTCCACATCTGATCTCTTTCCTTTTCTCTCCTCCCAAGCGTGCAGCCCTTCAAGACCTTCAACATGACAAACAGCAATAAGGTGGGTCTCTAGCAGCATTTCATAATCCGAAGAAACACAGAGACGTGAATTAGAACAGCCGTACCAGTCATTTTCGGGCAGCAGAGGCGGGACTCTGGTTGACCTTACCCTTATGAAGAGATGGTCGTGGCGTAAATTATGCAAATAGAGATCTTTATAGATCACCAGGAGCCTACGCCTCCATCTAGTTAGGATCAGAGACAAAACAACACAGGAGAGAATTAAGTGTCATTACCGAAAGTCTCTGCACATATTAGCCAAGACAAAATTTATGCAACTTTTGCAGGAGCTATTACCAAAACAAAAACAATAAAGAAGAGAAAACAATTACTATTGTTGCCGACAAACTTGCAATTCATCAGAACTATTGCAACTCTCATCACCCCCTACTCGTTTCTAATTGAGCGGATGAAATCATGAAACTGTGGACTGATTCATCCTGTAGCTTTAAAACTAAGTAACTTGGAAAAAACAGAAGAAAATGCAAGTTGAGGTAGGAGAACCTAATCGCCTCGCCAAGTCCATCAACAAATCAACAACTTTAAGACGCCATTAGTAAAGTAAGGAAAAACAGTACTTCTTTAAAGACAGCTAAAAAGAAAGAGACGACAGGTTAACGATCTTCACTTGTTCACATTCACAGAGTACCTACTCTCAAGAAGAAGTCATCGATTCCACATCAAATTCTCCTTCGGAAAGAGCAATCAAGAAACCGTCAGAGAATTCCCTCATTCGATGCAAATCACGCATCCCAAGTCCAGAGAAGATTGTGGAGAGAGAGAAGTACCCTCTTGCGGCGAGGAGAGGGCGATCCTTCGTCGCCGCCGATCTCCAAATCTAGATCAGTAAGACAGATCACAAGATTCCCCACACCGATGGAATCGAATAGGAAACCGGGAATCCTCACTCCCAATGGAACCTGTTCTTCTTGCAATTGGGATCGGGACCGAAACACAAAGGCGGGTTTTAACGGCGATAAGAATCCACCAAGAAGGAAAACTAAAACCCAAATACACGAAATGAATCGGAAGATCCGCGGACTCCGCTCGCGCTCTCTCTCGTGGTGGTGGTAAGAGGATGGAGTCAATGCGAAGCGTGCAAAAGGATCGCTTTCGGCTGTATCTCGAGGTGGACTCCGGTGAAAAGAACAGATCGGCGATTCTTGGAAAAGACTACGGCGCGAGATTCTTTTTCCTTTCCTTTTCTTCCAATTGCTTTGGCGACTTTTAAGGCACAGCGCCGCGTTTGACTTGGCTCGAGAAATGGAACGAATAAGCGACTCTTGCGTTCAATAACATTAATATAATATTTCTAATTAATATTATTAAGTGATCGGAACTTTATCTATTGATATATACAAATAAATATTTAGAGATATTTTTTACCGGTATATGTAATATTATTTTTCTATCGGCGTGCGACGAGGAAACGGGGACTTGCTTCTCTCATCGGCGTGGGACGAGGAAACGGGACCCAGGCGCGCGTGCTGTGGCCCCTGGTCGAAGAGACGTCGGCACGCTTTCCCTCCCGTTGGAATGCGGATAGGCTGTCTCGCCCAAGGCAGGATTCCGGAGGAAGAATCCCACCGCACTGGGAGCGCGGAGCAACGCAGCATTCGCAGCGTCGGGATGCGTAGATCTTCCCGTACGCTGTTCGCACGCTTCCTTGCGTTCCGTTCGTCAGCCAAGGCGCGCTTTTTAACGACCACCAACACTCGAATGCCATCACCACTCACGCGCCCTTGGCCTGCTCCCACTCGCCGATTAAATCGTCACCCGATCTACGAAGCCTCGTTGCCGCCACCGTGAAATTATTCACCAATTCGTTTCGAGACCTACCCGGTCCCCGGGACTTACCATACGCGGGCGCCACCTGGGGGGCCCTCGCTAGCTCCAGTAAAAATACGGGTAGTTCGACTGGACGTCCACGGACTAGTCGATCAACCGCTGCTCCATCTCGCCCGGTGAATATATATTAATAATAAATTAAAATTCATAATATTCTTATTTGACTCCACTAAAATGACATGGAAACATCAACTAACCCTACTTGCTATTATTCATTAAGATAGAGTCAAATGCTAATGTTGTGTTAAAAGTAGCAAAGATAGGTAAAGAACTTGCAAGTCTTATAAGTTCAGATACTATCAGCTATAAATAAAAAAGATAAAATAAGACTGGAACATTAATCGAGCAGTCATATATTGATTCAAACTATGATTTATAGGTTTGATTTAAAGTTGTTATTATGATTCTCCTCATGACTGCTCAATGTCAATTCTGAGGTCCTGCTAGTCTGAACACTACCCTACATTTATTGGTCAAATGTCATGAAGCAAAATGGAAGCATCACTAACATGAGGGCACCATCCAATTGCTTTTCTAAAGTTGGGTCGAAAGTACGAAGCACATCATGCACTGAGTGAGGCAGGACCACAGTGAGAACAAGATAACTTGGATTTGATATCTTAGTCCAAACTTATCATCCAACCAATCCTTAGAAAGAGATGGAAAACAGAGGAAAAGCTGCAAGGAGGGGGGGGGGGTTTACCTCGGGAATGCTGGCTGTCAAATGCTGAAGGTAGAGGAGGAGCATGAAAAAGTAATGATGCTTTGCGTCCCAGAATTTTCATCAATGGTACATACAATTGAGCTGCAGTAGAAAAGACTTGCAAAGGATTAGCTGCTGAAAATTCAGATTTAAGGAGCAAGCAAACTGCATATATGAAAGCATCATAGGTAGTGTAGCTAAGGATGCATAAGAAAGAAAGCAGCAAACAAGATTCTTCCAACTGGTCATACTGCAAGACTGATTCAAATGTAGTATAAACATTGACAGAAGAAAGCCTCATTGTCCACCACCCTTGCACCAGGGAGAAGCCAAGCTGTATTTTCCTAGACAGGATTAGGAAGCCGAGGAACATACAGAAGCTACTTGCACCAAACATGAGTGTTCTCTAAGTTCTGTTCAGAGTCCTGAAACCAGGAGCATATTTTGCAGCATAGGAGAAAATGCACAAAGTATCCTACACATTTGCTATAATCAAGAATAGACAACATTAGTTCTTTCTTGATTCAGTTAGAAGTATGCCGATTATCAAGCATCCTCAGCATAGTTTCACTCGAAATTACGTAACAAAAAAAGTAGAAAGAAGCTGCATATCAGAATCAGAGTACACACATAAATCAAAAGATATAACAAAATCCAGTGTTCCTTACTTTCTATTTTCATAATAAAAAGAATACGTATTTCCGTAACTAGTGATTTTGTCGATCTTATTGATCCACCAATGCCACTTTTATTAATAATACTAAAGGCAAAAGATTGCAATATTAACAAAGGTATTCTCATCAAAAGCGACATCAAAATTTGAACCCATTTCTTTCTAGCAGTCTGCCCATATGACCAAGAAAACAATACACTTAGGCATGAATGGTATCAAGAACACTCCATAAGAAGAACTAAGAATCTAGTTTATCCTCTTACTTATCTCTGACCCACCCTATTATTATTATTATTTAAATTTCCCAATCACATGATGTTATTGGCAACATATATTACTTCTTGGACCATTCAATACTCTCTAAAGTGGGAAGTATTTAGGTTTGTAAATCCATCCATGTGCTTCCACTTACAATATGTCCCAAACTACAAATTGAATAAAGCAATAAAAAATGATAAGCAATGGTAATAGCTATAGATGCCAAGAACCAGATGCTATACAGCTTTCCTTTATGATAAACATTAGGCTGTCGCTAAGATGATATTGGAGCACTAGAAAATGATAATCAGATGATATGTAGAGCACATGAGAAAAATAAACATCAGGCATTCGCCAAGACCAGCCAAACACTCAAAATTTAATATTCATTACTTCAACACACAAAAGAATGGCTCAAAGGAGATAAAAAACAATACAAAAAGAGAAAGCACTAAATGAAGTGCCACAGTGCCAAATAAAAATGAAAATGACATTTGAATATAATTTTATCAGTCAAGGAAGATGATGTGGGCACATAAAAGAACAAACCCGCGCACACCATGAGGCGGGAGGATCCCTCTATAAATCCTTCAGCTCCTTCAAATCAGCTTCAAGGCCGAAATAGCAATCAATGAATATTGAAGGACAATACAGGATGCAAAAGCAAGAACCTGGGAAATCTACTTAACCATTGAGGAAATCACTATTGAATCACCCGTCCCTAAAGAAAGAATATGGAGCTGAGCCTTGGTAACAGTTCAAAAGATCATAGAACAAGCTTTTGGTCCCACACCCAAAGATCCAATTATTTCAACCAAAAATCCACAAAAACAAGTTCAAAATTAGGATAGCAGCACAGAGGTTAGCAGTCTCATGCTTCAACCAAGAATCATACGAGAAGACATGGGTATCCTATGATGACTAAAGCAAATAAAGAAACCTCTCACATCGAACTCAAGAACCCTAACTTGGGAGCCAGATCCACTCACAACGACAGAACAATCTATTAAATCAAGAAGGATTCGGTCGATCATCTCCCTCTCCCTCTCACTCCATTGCTTCTTGCTTGCAGGGCTTATTTATAGACCGTGGGAATGGAAAAATGCTTCACATCACTCCAGTCACTATGAAAGGAGCAACTTCAAACGTGGTGAAATCCAGATGTTGAATTGAAGTGATTGATGAATCAAACTTGCTCTTTCCTTGCAATCAAAATTGAGCGTTGCTGCTGGAAATCTGAGCCTCGTCTTGGCACCAACTCTGTCTTCCTATGCACTAGGCTGGCTGATCCTGCATTCCTGTCAAGCTTCAGGCTCTCTCAAGGAATTGTCATGTGAAAGGCTTTTGAGCAGCTTTCCGGTGCCACCATGGTCACCATTAACGGATCTGTGAGGGCCAGTCTTGGCAGAACCTGAGCTATTGTCAACATAGCTGCAGGCAGAAATGTCTCCTCCAGGTGTCTCGGCAAGTTCACCACTTAGTTGTTGCTGCTCCTTAATGATCGTCTTAAGATATTTGCCTTGGGCTTCTATCCTTCGCTGCAGTTGCCTTTGCACCTGTCAAAGTGCATGTCATGACATCTCTCTCCAAAATTACATCAGAGTCACAGTCAGACAAGTTAGATAAGAAACAGAAAGTGTAGAATCACAAGAAAGTTCTCTATCAGAGAATTCAGTATAGAATTTAGGAGAGAACCAAAACAAGCAAACAAAACCATCAATTACATCCCCATTATGGTTGACCTGGTTTCTTGCACTTGTATATAATGAGAAAAAAGTAGCATTATAATCAACTCTTAAGAGAGAATATGAACAGGAACTGTCAGCAGTGCAGGACATTTACAATGATTTACAAGGGTATTAATGAGTGGGATTCTTCAGTGTGGCTAGTGTATCATAGGTCACATAATCATGAAAAATGTACAGGCAAAGTCAGATTTCTTATAATCATTTTCCAAGGTCACATATATGCAATGGGAAAAACTGATTGCATTGATGCATCACTTCATTTGATGGTGTGTTTAATGTTAGCTAAAACCTACAGTTGTTCCTACAAATCAACAATTACTGCTTTGTATCTGTTGGAGTTCATTTGAAATTTGCATGTTTTCTTCATCATAGTTGCCTTTTCCAAAGCAGTATTTTTACATTTAGATGGCACTTCCTGATGAACCAATTTGAAAATTCTGCCTACTTATAACTTATAAAGCTATCTAAAACAATCTAGTAACAACCAAGATGAAAAAGCTAAATCATCAACTCAAAGCTCATATATGCATATAAAAAAAGTCACCTCTGATTGTTCATGAAGCCGCTTTTGCACCTCCATCTGCAACTTAAGTGCTTCAGTTATTTGTGTTCCACTGAGACAACAAAAGCTAAAGGAGTTTACCATGATAAAAAATCTTTATGCAACTTCCTGTCAAGGAAATACAAACTCAAATGCGTGGAGAAAAGACAATCAGCATACCTAACAAGAAGAAATGATCAATTGTTTTCAAACGACATGTTATAGACCAGAAAAACCAAGAGCTTCATCTACTATATAGCATAACAAACCAAAAGGTGCATAATGGAAAAAATGAACAAATATACATCTTTTCTGAAAGTAAAAAGAAAATCATAACTAATTTAAGTTCGTGCTACTATTACAGTACCAGTGTGATCATAAGTTTTAAATATCTGAACATGTGATGTAAAATCAGTAATACCACATTTGCTGGCACAAACCACTTAATTTTTATATGCAAGTCCAACAAAATTCTGTTCAAGCTTGTTAGCCAGAAACTCCAACCTAGTGGCTAATAAAAGCTACAACGACAACATCAAGGCATGAAGTATAATCTATTTGAGGTTCTACATGGATGTTTTCCCACATTGAGCTTGAATGAGGCAATATCACTCGGTCCCCACTGATGCTTTCAGAAATCCAAAAATAGTTTTCCAGGACACACTTCCTAGATTCTTTCTTTCTCTGAATATCTCTACAAGGACACTTTTCCTATATGAAACCTGCTACTTTTTCTGTGCCCACAGGCTAGCTAGCAACTTGCTCAATAGATATCCCTAGTCCAAAAACTAAAATTCTTTGGTAAATTGCTAATAGTTCAATTCTTTTGGTGCTAAACAACTACATAGTGTTTTTGGCTATGTTTGATTTTCCTGTTGTTCTTTTTCTCTCATTCAAAGGACATGTATCCTTACCAACAGAGTACTTTTCCTTTTGGTTATGCCCTTTGAAACAATGAGATCCCAGTAGGAAGTCTTGTCCTTCAAAATCTGTGTCTAGATCATTTACGCGAGCTTAAATTTCATAACCATGAATATAAATGTATTTGCCACTATGATGAACTGCTCTTTCCACAATTAGTTAAATTGCAGCAATGCTAAGCATGCCAGTAACAGTTTGGCACTTGAATAACATAGCTACCAAGCATCAAACAACAAATGCCATCACAGGTGAGTTTATAGAATGATGTCTAGCCATCCCAAATGATCATTAATGTTGATGGGATAAACTTGAACTACTTTTCAAAAAATGCAAAAGTCTAAGACACAATTGCTAGTTTGGTGTTTGTCTGTGTCATAAAACACATCAATTTACTTACGAGGAACTTTCAAGTCCAGAAGACACGCCATCAGGATCCTTCTTTTCGGACTTGGCATCTACATCATTGGAAACATAGTAAAATCAAACCTATGGCCAGATATTAGTTTTTCCTTCAGATAATTAGCTATATGATGAGGATATGATTTCCTCAGTGTACTAAAAACTCAGTAAAGTTTAGCTAACATGTTTGTAATATACCTACCATCAGCTGAAGAATCAGGAACACATTTTGCAAGCCTGTATTTCTGGGTGCACCATCAGATCTTTAGTTTGTCAAAAGCAAGAATCTAAAACCAAATTTTATGGTGAAAAACATCAATAAGTACCTGTAAGTGACTCTTGACATGGTATATGGTTAGCCCTGCCACACCCATGATTCTAAGAACTCCTTTTGGAGTTGCTCCTGTCATAGGGGAGAGTATTTAGGTAGTGTTATACAGAAGACTACAAAATTAGATGATTAAATAACCTAACATGCTTTCAAACTCAGCTTAACTGAGAGGTTCTTTTGCTCAACTGTTCATTGGAAATACCAAAAATTCTGACAAAAGACTACACTATCGGTGGATAACTATACCAAGATATAAGCTTTTAGTTTCACTCTGATATGCTATAGGAAAGAACCAAGGAGCTTAACTAATTCAAATTAGGCAATTAAATTAAAACATAAAAAAGATATCTGAAATCCTGCTATAGACCACAATCAGATGTAAAAGTTTCTGCTAACTAAAAGATAACCTCATCAAAATAATATGGGTACTAAAGAATTTTATGTCAAAAGATATTGCAACAATAGTTGCAGAACTATAAGAAATCAATTAACCCGAGAGATGAAGAAAACTTTCAGTGTAATAACAAGCTTTTACTATTAAAGCAAGCAATTTAAGGGTATCGGGACAACGGATTCTGTTTTGTACTCATCAGGTGTCCTCATTAAATTACCCTATGTGCTACAAAAAGGTACAGAAAAGGAACTTCCAATTCAATTGTCCTTTCAGAAGGATGAATAAGGAAGGCATCGCACAGTTTGCAATCAATTAAGGAGAAAAATACATGAAAGAAACATATTGGACTACACTGTTCATTGGAAATACCAAAAATTCTGACAAAAGACTACACTATTGGTGGATAACTATACCAAGATCTAAGCTTTTAGTTTCACTCTGATATGCTATAGGAAAGAACCAAGGAGCTTAACTAATTCAAATAAGGCGATTATATAAAAACACAAAAAAAATATATCTGAAATCCTGCTATAGACCACAATGAGATGTAAAAGTCGCTGCTAACTAAAAGATAACCTCAACAAAATAATATGGGTTCTAAAGAATTTTATGTCGAAAGATATTGTAACAATAGTTGCAGAACTATAAGAAATCAATTAACTCAACAGATGAAAACTTTCTAACACCTCGATTAGTCCCATATCGAAAGTGTGCAAGATTAAGATTGACTTATAATGATTTGATGAGTATACAATTATCAATTTCAGCCTAAGTATTTTGACCAATGGTTTACGTCAAACAAAATTGATGGGACAATTAACCCATCATGCCCGGGTCGTGATATTTGGTCTCAGAGTCGACTTATTATTTGAGCATAGTGAGGGGGCTCAAGTAGGAAGATCTGTATCCTCCTAATAATTTCAGGAAAAAACCAGTTGATCATGCACTAACTCTCTGGGCCACCAAGCTGTGTCACAACAAGCACAAAACTATCATGAAGCTCATTTGTCCATCGTAAATGTCGTCTTGATGCCAAATTATGATTATCGGAGTTGTTCCTTCCACTGTTTGGGACCATTTTGTTGGTACGCAGTTCTACTTACTAGTAATCATCAAGTGACTTTTTAAATATTGAACTTGTACTATGCTAGGATTTGACTTGGGCAATGCTAGGCCTTAACAAGGACGTCAAGTCCTTGAGTGAGAAAATTATAACACCATAATTAGTCTCATATCAAAAGTAGACAAGATTATATTGGCTTATAAGGGTCTGATGAGTGTACTACGCTTGGGCCAAACGAAGTTGATGGACCAGTTAGCCCATCAGACCGGGGTCATGACACTTTCAACGTAATAACAAGCTTTTACTATTAAAGCAAGCAGTTTAAGAGTATCAAGACACTGGATTTTGTTTTGTATTCATCAGGTTATTACGCTAGTATAAAAAAGGAACTTCTTTTTGGAAGGATAAATAGGGAAGGCATTTCACAATTTGCAATTAATTAAGGAGAAAAACACATGAAAGAAACATATAGGAAGATTTGTATCCTCCTAATAATTTCAGGAAAAAACCAGTTGATCATGCACTTACTCTCTGGTCCACCAAGCTGTGTCACAGCAAGTACAAAACGGTCATGAAGCTCATTTGTCCATCGTAAACGTTGTCTTGATGCTAAATTATGATTATCGGAGTTGTTCCCTCCACTGTTTAGGACCATTCTGTTGGTACGCAGTTCTACTTACTGGTCATGAGCAAGTGACTTTTTAAATATTGAACTTGTACTCAAGATTTGCATGGGTTGATATGTTTCTCATCATCTGCGAAGAAGACGTCAACAAAGTAATCACAACAGTTATACACCACACACTAGCTCACTTGTAAAAACTTAAAAAAGTGTAAAATCGAAATCAGATTTTCAATAAATGTGATTGTATGTCAGATAAGAGATGTGGCAGTTTTACATACTATGCATTAGATAAAAGTAAAACAGGAAAAGGATAAACAGAAGTATATAGGTAAGGTGGAAGCTCCACAGAGCAACATGTAGGTCATTGTGTTTCCACTCAAATTTACTAAAGCAGCCATAACATAAGAATTATTAATCCTCAGGACCCTCAGGTAAGCAGCTACTCAATGTAATTACGTGTCGACAATGAGACCTCTATAGTTCAATTGCTACAGCAACTACAAATAAAACGTGATACGTAAAAAATGGTCCATGAGAACACTTAAACTAGTCACATCCACAGCTCTTTTCTAAAATGAGATACTTTATAGAAACTTTCTTTAGTTTTAGATAAAGAAGATTTATTCTGCTAAGTTGCTAGATGATGTCTTTTATTGTGAGTGAAACTGTAAGTCACCTCCGAAAATTACAGGTTTTGGAGCTCGAGTTTCATAAAAAGGAATCAGAGACATAGAACAAACACTTCTACAGCTGGGAGTGAAAAGAAAATTCTTTTGCTTTAAATTGATCTCAAATTTGCTAATAGAACGACTATAAATCTGGATGATTTACACAGCTTGATCGCTAGAAAATAATGGCATAAGGGTTTTCCTGAGGCATGGGGATTCTTGTCTTAAATAAGATATGTTCTCCTCCAAACAAAAGATTGAACCATATTATAGGTTAGTATTATGATGAAATCTTACCTCAATATTCGTAATTTTGCTGCCGCAAAAGAACAAGAAAATTTTCACACGCATCGTAAGCAATCAGCAGCCCGTATCTAGTCTATCGACTAAGCAATCAGGTCGTTGCTGCCTAGCGACAGTAGAAACAACACAGGGCAACTTCATAACCTTTCTTCTCAAAGATTAGGCTTTCGGAGTTCGTTCTTTACCACTTTTCCGAAATTAAATACATCATTCATCATGCGTCACAACTCAGCATCCAGTAAATCACGAGACCCAAATCCACAAAAAACCAAGTTACGTACCCAGATTAGCAAAGCCACGCGCCAATTCCCAGCTCCAGCGCGGATCGAAAACGCGTTCTCCGAGGCTCCGCCTGAGACCGATCAACCGTCAAAAAAGCAGGAATGAACCGAATCAAGAACAAATTTGAACGAATAAGAGCCGTCAAAGCGAAGCTTCTTGATGGAGATCGAGGAATCATTAGATGGAAATCGAGGTTCTCGGCGAGTCCGATTACACGATCAGAGATCCGCCAGCCTCCGCCCTCGCTCTCGCTCTCGCTCTCGCTTTCCACAGTAAGTCCCAGTTGCCCAAGGGCGGAATCCGAGGGTGTCCGCCTCGAGGAGCAGCGGATCCGTTTCAAGCATCGCTCTACCGACGATCCTCGAATAGCTCACGTGGCATCTTCCAGACGCCACACGAGTAGAAACTAAGTTCTCGAGTGACACGTGCTTTACAACATCGGGGCTTGTGTTATCAAGATCGTGCGACGCAGTTGACGGCATCTAATTCTAGCGGAATCCGACCGCCTGACCCTACGCGACGTAGGCGATACCGTGACACGACGGACGGTCCAGCTCACAGCCTGCGGGGCCCGCATTCCCGACCCAATAGCGGTGCGCATCACCCTGTTTGGTTGCTCGGCCGAGACGCAGGAGCACGTAGTACGGTGATGAAACAGGGTCGCCCGATCTTGTGATTGGCGGAAGTAGGTGCTCCGTGCCTCGGCCGAGACAGGTGAGCTCGACACCTGCTGCAATAATAGAGAAATCCATGATTAGTGACATTTCTTAGGAAAAAAGGTTTAAAAAAATTAAAATCCTAAGTTTTGTTCTAATTAATGACCAAATGGATGCATCATCTCAGAAGTATGTTGGTCTCCCAACTTTCTTGTCCTACACAATTCCAGTGTTAAAAGATGAACCAAATAGCAGTAAATGTCTATCCAACACACACAACATAATCATGTAACTCTGTTTCATAAAACACAGAAATAAGCAAACATGAGCCTGCAGCAGTTTTCACAATGGCCTCACAAGGAGGCATCACTTGATTCCAGTAATCAAGCTGACTTTTCCTAGTCAAGTTCCATGGGACTTGAAAGCAAGTTTTGCCAACAAGAGTGAACGAAGACTTTGATCCTTTCAGCAGCAGCCCCTTCAGCATGGTTTGGTTTTAAGTTCATGTGGCTTCTGATAGAAGAACTGGCCTTCGATCGCCGACGACGACGAAGTCTTGCAACCAGGGCTCTGCAAATTGATCGAATTCACTGATAACTGATGGAGGATGGATTGGCTCAGAGGATCGGAAGGGCTGCAGATGACTCTGGTTGCCATGTCTGAAAGCTCTTGCTCCGTAGTGTTGAAACTATTTGAAGTAATTTGCTCGGATGCTATCTTATATGCCTTTGCTAACAAGGAGTCAATGTATTTTTGGTAGGCTTCCATTCGGATCTGCACATGCTTTTGAACCTGATAAAGCAGCCAACATATACTTTTAGTAGAAGTTGATGAGCAATTAAAGCTTCTATAATCAAGAATTTAGCTGACAATAAAAACAGCTGAGATAATGAAATATGTGACTGCTGCTGGTCAAGTTGTTATAGATATACACTAGTTCTCATCAAAATGTTTTTAGAAAAGTGTTGAACCATGATTGTTTGTTGAAATTTGATTAGAATCAAGGTGGATAAAATTTAGTACAACATATGTGGATAGATTTTGACAAATGATTCATGTTAAAGTCCCTAATTAACTTGACAATTTACCACATTCAAACCAGAATAGACTCGGCAGATAGAGAGATAGGGATGTATAATCACAACTTAAGATGAAATATGACCAGAAACATGCCAAAACTGTATGCACCTTCTCACTTGTACATATGCATATTAACACACATATATCATACATAACCAACGCATATATGTAAACTTAAATATATAGGTGTACTTTATATGTATATTAGATAGAAAGCATAAGAATTCATTGTAGAGGAGATCTTTGATTACTAATATGCACATAGTTTAAAGCAATGTTCGTAATACCGTACCGTACCGGTATTTCGATCTGGGCTCGGTACCGGTACACCCAGATGTACCGAGCACTGTAGCACTGCTACTGTGCAGATCGGTACCGGGCGGTCCGCATACCACTGGCCTGTCGGACCGGTACGTACCGCTCGTACCGGGCGGTACGATTCGGTATGGCAGACACTGGTTTAAAGGGCCCAACTTTATTATGCTGGGACTGAAGATGGCAGATGCAAACGGTTAGGTTATTCAAAAAGAACATGTTTGTAGGGAGGTTAAGGAACAAAAATAAAATCATAGAGAATTAGAGAAATAGGTTTAATTACCTCCACTTGTTCATGCAATTTTCTTTCCACTTCCATCTGTGCTCTCAGTGCCTCTTTGACTTCCTGACCCCTAAAAGAAGAAGCATCAAACATGTTAATTCTGTTGCATATATGTAACCTGTCTCGCCAAAAAAAAAATCATATATATATATATATATATATATATATATATATATATATATATATATATATATATATATATATATACACACACACATACATATATATATACATACATATAAATACATATACATATACATATATATGTATATGTACATGCACATATACATATATACACACACTCATGAAAGGCAACTCCAACGTAGATTGCTGGAAAATTCAGAAGTACTAACTTACTCATTCACATCAGGAGTAGGCACCCTTGGAGATAAAACACTGCTGCTTGGATTCTCCAAAAGGTAAGAAGCTGACATTCAAGATGCAAATTATTAAAAGAAAAATTCAGATTAAGTTTTTTAAAAAAATGTGATTACAGAGTGATGATGAGAAACTGAGAATTGTATAAATGTTAAACAAAACATGCTATAGCTAGATCATTTATGCTGATTATCAGAAAATAGTGCTCCATACAATTAGGTCCACCAATCTTCTCTTGTAAAAATTAGGCATGACAAAAACTATTATCAAGATGCACAATGCAAAAATACATTTTGCTTTGTTTTCCGATCATCATAATCATGTGGTGGATCAGAAAATTTTTCAGAGAAAATTTGCCCACATTTGTTGACAGAATTTACAACTCAAAATGGAAATGGAAAGATCTCCAAGACCCAAATTGTGTGACTAACTAGCTAAGGAAGCTCGAACCGAGACAGACTTCAAATCAGCTCGGCGTTCTTTCCAAGACAACCCCTAGGTTATGAAAGCATGGGTGTGGATGTCTAATTATAACAAAGCCTTTTATCAAGTTTTGGAGCTTTGGAGGCTCAACTAAGAGTAAAAATGAAGCATTAAGCACAGACAACAGAAAAAAGTAGAGAAACTTATGGACTTACCATCTTTTGACTGCTCGGTCATTTCTTTGCCTGATTGCTTTCCTAGTCTGTATTTCTGAAACATTAACAGGAAAAATTAAGTATTCCAGTACAAGCCAATTTCAGACTTTAGCAACAAGAAAAGCTTAAGAGAACGACACAGAAAGAACTTTAACATGTTTATAAGTACCTGAAGATGACTCTTTAGATGAAAAAGAGTAAGTCCTTTGACGCCCATGGTTCGCATGATAGCTTTTGGTGTTGCCTCTACATAATTCAACATGTTATAGACAGATTATGATTAGAACCAATGCTTACATCAGATATAAAAAAAATAAAACTGAAATCATAGGTTGTGGAGATAACCAGGGTCCTACCACTAGTTTATAGTGATGACAACAGCAAGAAATGATGAAAAAGCAGCAATTGTCCAGACTTCAGAAGACGACAACCATAAGAATTGATGCCAAAATTAAAAAGAGAAAAGGAAAATTTGTATAATCAATGACTGTATCTGGAAAATAAACAAAAACAAAACTTTGGTAGTTGACTATTGTTGGCTATGAGATGCGTGATCAACAAGATACAAGTGGTCTAAGACCAGCCCAAGGAAATAAATATTATCCATTCTGTAAAGAAAGTAAAGAAATGGATTGCCATGCATTAGATCAATAATGCTGAAACAAAAGGCACAAGCATAAAACAATGAAAAAGCAGCAATTGTCCAGACTTCCAAAGACGACAACCATAAGAATTGATGCAAAAAGTAAAAAGAATAAAGAACACCCATATCCAAAAAGTAAACAGAAACAAAACTTTGGTGGTTCAGGTTCACTACAGAGAAACTACAGATAAGTCGGTTATATAAGCAAACTACAGTCGGCTATGAGACACGTGATCAACAAGATACAAGTGGTCTAAAACCAGCCCAAGGAAATAAATATTATCACTCTGTAAAGAAAGTAAAGAAATGGATTGTCATTCAATAGATCAATAATGCTGAAATAGAAGGCACAGGCATAAAACAATGAAGAAGCAGTAACTGTCCAGACTTCAGAAGACGACAACCATAAGAATTGATGCCAAAATTAAAAAGAGAAAAGAAAAAAAATGTATAATCAACAACCGTATCTGGAAAATAAACAGAAACGAATCTTTGGTAGTTGAGGTTCATTACAGAGAAACTAAAGATAAGTCGGTTATATAAGCAAACTACAGTCGGCTATGAGACACGTGATCAATAAGATACAAGTGGTCTAAAACCAGCCCAAGGAAATAAATATTATCACTCTGTATAGAAAGTAAAGAAATGGAATGCCATGCATTAGATCAATAATGCTAAAACAAAAAGCACAGGCATAAAACGATGAAAAAACAGTAATTGTCCAGACTTCAAAAGATGACAAAAATAAGAATTGATGCCAAAAATAAAAAGAAAAAAGTATAACGAACACCTGTATCCGAAAAGTAAACAGAAACAAAACTTTGGCTGTTGAGGTTCATTACAGAAAAAATACAGATAAGTCAGTCATACAAGCAAACTTCGGTTGGCTATGAGACACATGATCAACAAGATAAAAGTGGTCTAAGACCAGCCCAAGGAAATAAATATTATCAACTCTGTAAAGGAAGTAGAGAAATGGATTGTCATTCATTAGATCAATAATGCTGAAACAAAAGGCACAGACATAAAAAGATGAAAAAGCAGCGATTGTCCAGATTCCAAAAGATAACCATATTAATTGATGCCAAAAATAAAAATAAAAATGTATAATGAACACCTGTATCCAAAAAGTAAACAGAAACAAAACCTTGGTGGTTGAGGTTCATTACAGAGAAAGTACAGATAAGTCAGTTATATAAGCAAACTACCATCGGCTATGAGACACGTGATCAACAAGATACAAGTGGTCTAAGACCAGCTCAAGAAAATAAATATTATAACTATGTAAAGAAAGTAAAGAAATGGACTGGCATTCATTATATCAATAATGCTGAAACAAAAGGCACAGGCATAAAACGATGAAGCAGTAATTGTACAGACTTCAACAGATGACAACCATAAGAATTGATGCCAAAACTAAAAAAAAGAAGAAAAAAAAGTATAATCAACAATTGTATCTGGAAAATAAGCAGAAACGAAACTTTGGTGGTTGAGGTTCATTACATAGAAACTACAGATAATCAGTTATATAAGCAAACTATGGTCGGCTATGAGACACATGATCAACAAGATAAAAGTGGTCTAAGACCAGCCCAAGGAAATAAATATTATCCACTCTGTAAAAAAAAGTAAAGAAATAGATTGTCATTCATTATATCAATAATGTTGAAACAAAAGGCACAGGCATAAAACAACGAAAAAGCAGTAATTGTCAAGATCTCAAAAGATGACAACCAAAAGTAAACAGAAACAAAACTTCGGTGGTTTAGGTTCGTTACAGAGAAACTACAGTTATATAACCAAACTATGGTCAGCCATGAGACATGTGATCAACAAGATAAAAGTGGTCTAAGACCAGCTCTGTCATGACTAGGGCCTGATGGGCTAACTGACCTATCAACTTCGTTTGGTCTAAACCATTGATCAAAATGCTTGAGCTGAAGTTGATAGTAGTACACTCATCAGACCCTTATAAGCCAATCTTAATCTTGCCCACTTTCGATGTGGGACTAATCAGGGGTGTTACAAGCCCAAGGAAAAAAAAAGTTTATCCATTCTGTAAATAAAGTAAAGAAATGGATTGCCATTCATTAGACCACTAATGCTTAAACAAAAGGCACAGGCATAAATTATTATTAGAGAAACAGCATGGCCCTAAAAACAAGAATTCCCATATGTCAAGAAACAAACAAGGTAATGAATCAGATACCAAAAGTAGAGTTCTACCCATTAAATAGGTCAATCAAGAGGAGGGTAATCAGGCAATCTGACAACAGCAAGCACTTATACGTAAAGTTAAATGAAGGCTCAGTTGCGAAACAATACAATAATATCTTGAAGCTAAAAAGAGAGGTTATTAAAGCATTCAAGTAAAATAAGGAAACACAGCTATACCAAACATAGAGTACACATGTAACACAATTTTTTTCAAGTGTCACTTGGCACACCAGACTTCACCTAGGGAAAGAGGACTAACACAGAGGGTGAAAAGGCGCACAAGACACCATGGCCAGGATTTAAATCCTTGACCTAAGATAAGGGACTTTGTATACACACAGCCAGCAGGGACGTTGTTGGTTGGGCATAGGAACACATAACTTTACTGACATAAATCTGTACAGATTTTTGTATCTAACTTGTCTTAAAGTGGGTGGACTGGTAAGTTTGAATTCTGGAGGTATCAGTTACCAACCTACAAGTTGATTTATATAGGTCTGCTACCATTTGAAACTGGTAGGCACTAGGAAAAAGAAAATGAAACTGTCCTCAAAACAAACAAGCATTTAAACCATTTTACAGCATAGCTTCCTCCACCAGAACTATTCTTATGACACTAACCATCCATTATTTGGTTCCATAAAATTTAATTGCCTATAGTCGCTTTATGATCTTTTCCTATCAGTCAGAAGAAGATTAGAATTAAGAATGTTGTTTTCTCTATTTATAGATTTTAAGCATAGAAATTTTATTCTTTATATAACTTGTCTTGTCTATTTTAACTACTAAAGCTATGCATTCAGATTCAAGCCAATTTCAAACTTGTAGTAATGGTAATGCAAAGTATATACCGGTACTAATTTCAGAACCCTCGGCTTCTGAATATTGTCTCCACTGTAGAAACTTGGAACTTATTTCTGGTCTATTTTCATTAACAAGAAGAAAAGTATCATTGATACATAATGTCAACACAAAACTTCCAAGTCCATCCATCACAAGTGCGCATATGCAGTGGTAATGCAGACTCAGCATAAATTATATTCGTCCTTACACTTCATAAACTAGTGACTGCCCGGACATAAAATCCTTGACTTTTATCAAAATACAAAATAGGGGGTCCTCTCCTTTCGTAACCAACCACCAACAATTGATGTTAGTAAATAAACAACACGATTGATCTTGGCATAGAGGCAGAGCTGTTTCAAGAAAATACTTTGACTGATCTTGGCATTGATTATGCATAAAGACGGCCACATAAAGTACCCACGAGATTGCTCACCAGCTCTTTTGTGGAAGGGTCTATAGAATTTGATCAGACGAAACAATTACAAACTTTTGTCATCCAATCCTACCTCTGTCGTTTTCTTCTTCTCTTTTCTAAAACCAAATAGGAGCATTGATTGCCAAAGACCTGTTATAATTTAAAGCGATGCCCTATCCCATTAGAAACACACAAAAAAAAGCACTTTCTAGTGGCGGTGTGAGTTGAATGATCGCTTTTAAGAGGCAAAATTAGGAGAGGAATCCGAAAGCATCAGACTTGAGAAAGACAAATGAGCGACACTACCTAATAACTCCAGACTGTGTCACCAAGTAAAGCAGGAGCCGACTCGCAAGACCACACCTTTTCCATTATTCATGAGAAAGTTCCAACAAATCCTAGCGACTCAAGGCAAAATTAAATCCTGAACCCGTGAAGAGATAAAAAAAAAGGGAGCAGAGACTCGCAATCAAAGGGAACAAGGTACGAACTTTCGGGGCCTCCGAGCTGGGCGACGGCGTCGACGAAGCGCTCGTGGAGGTCGGTCGTCCATCGGAGGCGCGGCTTGGGGTCGGCCGTCAGGACTAGGCTCGGGCCGTGGGCTTCCTCCGTTGGAATCGAAGCTTCCGGGCGGTGGATCAACCCAGAAAACATCCTCCTTTCCTGTGGAAAAGCAATCTTGGAAAGGCGAAAAGAGAGCAAACAAGATTAAAAGAATTGCAACCCCACTTGGAAGCAGTGCGACCAAGGGGAAAGGAAGTTGCTTTTTGGCCCTTGGCTCTTTGGGATCCTAACGCGAGGCAGAATTTGTCGCCATAATCGCTTTGCCCCACAACAAGAAAGACTGGAGCTTTACATCAACAAGCACCTTTATATTTCTCTCCTCGCCGCAGCCGATGGAAAGACCAGGACCAGGATAAAGGAAGGAACAATGTGGATGGGAGAGAGAGAGAGAGAGAGAGAGCGACCCATGTGAAACAAGTCTATTCTTTGCTGGGTGGACTTCGTGGTCCGTCAAACACACCCTGTCTCCTCAATTGACGGCTATGGTTAGCTCAATAAGCAAAACGTCAAGTTTAGATCAACCTTATTTGTATGCTTCCGCTAGCTCGGCTAGGCACTGAGAAATTGTTGCCGATGCTTGCACGTTGAAGCTATGTTTTTTCTGTCTGTATCTCCATATAGAACTTATTTTGATGCATTATTTTTGCCAGTTGATTCCCATTCACCAGGTTCTACCGGAGTAATTTGATTAAAAAGGTTGTTCCGATGACTCCACCAACCGTTCATCCCATGCAAAAATAATTGAGCGTCTTATGTTGTGAATAAAATATTAGAACAAATTCAAATTTATGATTTAAGTCTAATGACAAGATTGGCAGACCTAATCAAATGAATATTTTTGAGTCAGATTCATTTATTTAATTGAATGGGTAAAATAAACATTTTACTTCTACTTATCAGAAGTTTTTTGGCCATATTTATGTGCAGGCGCCTGAGCACCTGCTCTATTCCATTTTTGACCCCATGAAAGCGAACATCTTCTTAGATTGATCGTGAAAATGATAGATGCATCCATAATAATCTCCCTACGACGATAAGTCTCAATTGATCGCTCCAATATTTCTAATGGAAGCACCAATGTCAACCATTGCTGAAGTATCTCTTTCCCGGACGACATAAAAGTTAAAAAACAATAAAAAAAAAACCTCAAAGCATCTCTATGGTTCTAATTCACCTGAAAGTTTTTATTCCAAGATATAAGGTTAAAAAAATGAAATCTCATCGTTGTGCATCTACAGTTAAGAACTGCACCAGCTTTATATATTTAAGTGCTCCAGAAATCCAAAAATAAATTAATTGCATTTTGATAGCTTCTATTTTGATATTGTGTTCTCTGTATTATGACAGCTTCTATTTTGATAATTATAGGAGCAAAATATGGTCTCAATCATCAAAAGAAATCTTGCGGTCTTCGACGGGTTTCATATTGAAAACAAGAAAAACCAATTTTACAAAGAAAAAACTAAATATTGCGGCAAAGCAATGAAGAAGGGGTTGGCGCTCAGTGGAAGGAGAAGTCGTTTAATTAGTGAGAAAGGCTCACGGCAATGACAAAATTCGCCACCGCCACTGCCCACACCAAGTATTTAAACTCATCATAGCATCAACAATCCATCCAATTCTTTGCCGCATCCAAACAAAAAAAATTTAATTTTCAAAAGAAAAATTCAATGTTAAACGAGATCTAAAGCCAGGAGTTCATTCGATCCAGTAAAAACTCGATCTTCAAAGAAGAGCTTTCCAAAATCAAAAGATAAGAGTGACAAAATAGATATCTATTCATTAAAAAGGACGAGAGACAGAGAGAGAAAGAGGCTTCAGTGTGTGTAACAACAAGAATCAGATCAAAGACCAGAGTCTCACTGAAATCCGCTAAGAGGATTAAGACCACTCATCATCAGCCAAGACTCGAGAGAGAAAAAATTGTTTGGGCAATCAAGACACCGAGAAATCATTAGAGCAATCGATGTTCAATTAGATCCAAAGTCACTAGATCATTTGATGCACTAAAAACTTGATCTTTAAGGAACTTCCTTACGGCAGAGTTTTCCAAAACCAAAAGATGAGTAACAAAATTGCAAAGAGGACCGATGGAGAGAGGGAGAGGCATCAGTGTGTGTAACAACAAGAATCAGATCATAGACCGGAGAGTCTCACTGAAATCCGCTAAGATCTTTACGATCACTCATCATCAGCCGGCCGTCAACGAGACGGAAGAAATTGTTAGAGCAATCAAGAAACCACGAACATCTACGAATTGAAAAGAAGAGAAGAAAGACCATATGTGGAGTAGCGGCAACAACAGAAACACGAAGCCCCTCGACATGCGTCCATATATAGAGATCTAAGGATTTAGGGTTAGGGTTTCGAGTCAGGAACAGGGGTTTGTCGTTGCGCGAGTAACGGTTCGATCTCGGCCGTCTGATTGAATTCAAGAACGTATTACGGCCAAGGCCCTCTCCCCAGCCCAAACGTGGAAGCGTATGGGCTCGATCCCTCTTTGTGAGGCCCAAATCACAGACGTGAACAGGCCGATAACAAGAATCTTTTTTGGAAATGGCAACATGAATGCATGGAAAACCCATTTTCTTTAATCAAGTAATTCATGGCTTATGAGAGAAAAAGATTGAACATGAGGAACATGAACAAGGAAAACGATCGATGGTAGAAAGAACCACAAGAAAGAAGGGGGATTCGAAAAAGAAGGAAGCAAGAGAAATGAAGGCAAATTCCAAGAGTCATAATCACCAAAAACTGAACCGGAATATCATAAATAGACATATATAAAACAAGAATTTCATCAAGGAAAAGGCACAATCGCAGTACGATGCAGTAACCAAACAGGAGACAGATTCAAAGGGGTTTAGGTCAAAACATTCACGTTCAGATAGAAAGAAAGATTTTCTTGGATGGAGCTGCAAGATAAAAAGAGAAAACGAATAAAGAATGCATCTCGAGAGAGAGAGAGAGAGAGAGAGAGAGGATGGTGGAGCGGACCTGCTTGA